TATTTATTTTTATTTTATTTATTTTTTTAAATATAAGTATATTTCTTTATTGACCTCAGAGAGGAAGATGAGAGGAGAATTCATTGATCCGGCTGCTTCCTGCCCGCCCCGTACTGGGGATCGAAGTCTCCAACCCAGGCATATGCCCTTGGCTGGAATTGAACCTGGGACCCTTCAGTCCGCAGGCTGACGCTCTATCCACTGAGCTAAGTCGGCTAGGGCAGTTATTTATTTTTAAATATATTTTTTATTGATTTCAGAGAGGAAGGGAGAGGGAGAGAGAGATAGAAGCACCAACGATGAGAGAAAAATCATGGATCGGCTGCCTCCTGCACGTCCCACACTGGGGATTGAGCCCGCAACCCAGGCATGTGCCCTGACGGGGAATTGAACTGTGACCTCCTGGCTCATAAGTTGATGCTCAACCACTGAGCCTCGCTGGTCGGGCTTAATGAAGTGTATCTAAGCAGGAAACTTGCCTTTACTATAGCAATGAAAACCAGCCTGCCTTACCATAATAGAAGGCACCGATAGAACCATGAAGACACTGAAAGCAAAGCGATGTGGGCAGTTTTCAGTGGCACAGGACGGCCGGCGGGGCTCGGGCAGAGACCTGCTCTATGGGCCAGAGGGGAGGAGAGTGGGCCACACAGGTGGAAGGCCAGAGCAGCACTAGCCCGAGACTCCCTCTCTGCTCCCAGGACCTACAGAGCGTTGAACGAGAGGAAGGTTTCATGTTCTGCTGTCCTTTGCCTGCTCTGTGCCATCCAGTCATCTCGGGTCCTCCCTGGTCCCGGGAGCCCCACACCTGGAGAAATATTCCCAGTGACACGTTGGGACAGTGGACACCCGGCCCCGCAGTCCCTGGGGTGGGGAAGGGAGCCTGAGGTGGGGCCGCACTCAGGTTCCCAGGGAGGACCAGTCTCGGGATGTGGGCCATGGCACCGGGCCTCTCAGAGGTCGGGAAGGGGTTGGGTTGATGAATTTGGGGGGCTCCTGGCATGTAGAAAAGCAAGGAAATACCGCCCAGCCGGCATGGCTCAGTGGTTGAGTGTCAAACCTATGAACCAGCAGGTCACGGTTCGAGTCCCGGGTTGCGGGCTCGACCCCCGGTGTGGGTTGTGCAGGAGGCAGCCGATCCATGATTCTCTCTCATCATTGATGTTTCTGTCTCTCTCTCCCTCTCCCTTCCTCTCTGAAATCAATAAAGATATATTTAGAAACAAACAAAGACATACCCAAACGGGTCCCCCAACAGCAGTAACGCTCACGACAAAGACAGCCTGTTACCCTTGAATGGAGGACGCTCCACATGTCGCCATGAGGCCTGGTGCCTTCTCCTCCTACCCCCAGGCCTGGAAAGGCATCATCCCCCCTTCCCTGGGATGGGGAAACTGAGACCCAGACACGGGAAGCAGCTGAGCCAGGCTGTGCTAGGCCAGGCGCTAGGACTGCCCACCTCCCACCCCCATAGGCTCCCCATGCCTTCTCTGAGGCTGTACCCCCACCCCCTGCAACCCTGAGTCCTTGATGCTTCCCAGGCCCAGGGAATCCCGGTGGGGCTTTGGAGACCTGGACTCTAGGCCGTGTCCTGGGGCTCCGGTGGCTTCTGTGGCATCACAGCTGCCTCTGTGGGTCCTGGCTGGTGGCCGGGGTCGCGTGGCCCTCGGAGGCCTCTGGGCTCTGCGTCTTGCGCATCCTGCATGGAGGTCTGCGTGGGCCCCTTTGGGAGGTGGCTGCCAGCAGCTGCTCCAAGCCTGCATCTGTGGCTTCTCTCTCTCTCTCTCTCTCTCTCTCTCTCTCTCTCTCTCTTTCTCTCTCTCTCTCTCCCCAAGTGCCTGCCACAGAAGAGCACCCGGAAGTGCAGGTGGAAGACACTGATGCTGACAGCCACCCCCTCATCGAGGGAGGACAAGCCACCCTCACCCGAGCGGCTGCCACCGTCTCCTGCCAAGTCCGACACCCTCACAGTCCCAGGATCGGCCGCGGGGACCCCGCAGGTCGCCTTTTATGCTTCTCATGGGCTTTCCGCAGCACCGTGCCCCCTGCCCAATTGGCAGATGAGGAGACTGAGGCCAGAGAGGGGAAGCAGCTGGCCGAGGTCACTCAGCGAGTTGGGGTTAGAACCGGGACCGTGCCCTCCCTTGCTGGTTCTCCTAATTCTCTATAAAGAACCCTCCAGGGAAGCCCTGTCCCTACGACCCTCAACTGCATGTTAGAAGGGGGTAGAATGTGACAAGCCTGAAGTCTAACTTCCCTTTTTTTAAATAATTTTTTTAAAAAAATATGTTTTTATTTCAGAGAGAGGAAGGGAGAGGGAGAGAGAAAGAGAAACATCAGTGATTGAGAGAGAACAATTGATGGACTGCCTCCTGCACGCCCCCTACTGGGGATGGAGCCTACAACCTGGGCATGTGCCCTGACCAGGAATTGAACTATGACCTCCTGGTTCATGGGTCGATGCTCAACCACTGAGCCACGCCGGCCGGGCGAGGGCAGTGACTTTTGACTGGGACGGGAAGAGAGAAGAATGTTTAGGCCGAGGCCTGGCTGAGAGATCAGGTTCTCGTTGCGCTGGGTGGGTTCAGTTCCGTTTTACAGAAGGGGAAACCGAGGTGGCTCCGAGAGTTTAAGTCCCTTGCCAAGGCCACACACTGGGAAGAGGCAGGGCTGGATTCGAACTCATGTCTGCCCGAGACCAAGTCAATGCCGTTGTTTTTATGCTCAGCCATTGAACGGATGTGGAGACTGAGGTCAGAGAGCAGCTGCGGACCTCTCCTCCCCTTTCCGTGTCCCTGCAGGGACGTGAGGACCCTTGGGCAGCAGCGCCTCCTGCCCCATCCCCACCCAGGATTTGGCTCTGGGTGATCTGCAAGGGTCCGGAGTCGGCTCCCTTCCCCCGGGGACTGCCCTCGCTGAAGGACCCTTCCATACTGTGTACCTCGCAGGAAGAGGCTG